GGCATCCATTCACCGTGTGCTCAGACGGCATCCATTCATCGTGTGCTCAGACTGCATCCATTCATCATGTGCTCAGACGGCATCCATTCATCACGTGCTCAGACGGCATCCATTCATCGTGTGCTCAGACGGCATCCATTCACCGTGTGCTCAGACGGCATCCATTCATCACGTGCTCTGATGGCATCCATTCACCCAGCCTTGCCACTAGGGTCCTATCACTGCTCGTCTTCCTTCTTCTGGAGACCTTCCTTGTTGACACAGGAAGGAATGCCCCTTTGTTCTGTTGCCATTTGCTGGGATTAAATGTGATTTCTTGAGCAGCAACAGGTATGCTAAGTATTATTAAAAGAATAAGGGGGGCAAATGGCTCAGCAGTTAAAGCTGAAACCCAAGTAAATGCTGGGTGGGCATGGTATCCTGCCTGTAGTTCCAGTCTTGGATGACAGAGATGGAAGGTCCCCAGAACAAGCTGTGTACTGAGACCAGCCATATGGTAAGCTCTAGGTTTGATTGAGAGACCCTGCCTCAGTGAGAAAGGTGGAAAACTGAAGATGATTCCCAGTATCATCCTTGGGCCTCCATATGCACATGGACACATGTGCCCACACACATGCAAAAACATGCATATATACATGTGCCCACACCGCCCCCAACACACAATGAAAAAAGGAAGAAAACATCTAGTTTCTCTAGATGTTAAGACTTTGACACTCTTAACACTTGATGTTGGTAATCTACTGAGCTAACTAATTTCAGAACTGGTTGATCTCAAACATCTTGTCATGTATAAACATGTTTAGAACTATCCCTTAAAGAAGATGAATTCTCCCTCACCCAGCAGTGATCAGCTGCCAATAGTTCCTCACCAAAGCTGTGGCCTCCTGCCCATTTCCCCAGTTCAGTGCTGGTTTTGTCTGATTGAGTTTGCCTGGATCTTATGCATGCTGTTACCACTGCTATCAGTTCATATGAGCAAGGTCCCAGGAGCCTGTAAGACTCCATTTCTTTATAGCCATGCACCTCCTCTCCCGGCTCTGACAATCTTTCTGCTCCCTCTTCTGCAATGGTCCCTGAGCACTGGGTGGGTGAAGCTTAATATAGGAGTTCAGGGATGCACACCCTGCAGTCTCCTTTTCTCTGTACTATGGCCCGTTGTCCCTCTGTTGCATGAGGAAGCCTCGCTGATGAGAGTTGAGAGATGCCTTAGTATTCTTTCTACCCCTTGTTCTACTGTGTTCCATGAGGCTTAGGTGTAGAGGTTTCATTGTAGCCCTTCTCACTTAGGGTTGGGCATCTCACAGACACTGTGTGTGACCAGATGAAGAGGCTCCAGTGGATGAACTCACACTAGGGACATGTGGGTGCACAAACTTGACTCGGTAGGCCTTAACATATATGACAAAATGCGTATGTGTATGGGAAGGGGGAGGGTGCAGACAAGGAAGGAGGGCTAAATATGATCAAGATGTATGAAATCCCCCAAAGTCAATAAAATATATTAAAAAATATTTAGATCTATCAAGGACTGTATGGAACTTGAACCAGAGACCCCAATGCAGAAAGTATATCTAATAAAACATTTTAAGGAAGCAATCTGCAGGGTGAGAGAAAAATATTTGCAAACGTATCTGATAAAGGCTTAATATAGAAAATACAAAAGAACTGACCATTCAATCATAAAAGGCAACCCAATTAAAAATGGGCAAAAGATTTTAAGTAGACGTTTCTCTAAGAAATGTATACAAATGGTCAAAAAACTTTTGGTGAAAATAATGCACCAGCTCTTATTCATAGAGAAATTCAAATAAAAATTACATTGGAATATCACTTCACATTGGCTCATAGGACTATAATAATGAACTAGAATGACAGACGATAGCAAGTGTTAGCAAAGAACTGCAGGAATTGTAACCTTCACGCTCCACTAATGGCAATGTGAAATAAAGCAAACAACTATGGAGTGCAGATTGGCGAAACAAAATTACCACAGAACACAACAGTTCAATTCCCAAGTTTATCCAAGGGACCTGAAGACGTCGTTACACAAAACTTGGGCACAAATGTTTATGGACACCCTATTTAATTCCTCCAAAGTGGAACAACCCACATGTCCACTGATTGATAAATTGAAAGGTGGTCGTACAGTGGAATGAAGTGCTAATGTATGACTGGAACTTGAAAACAGTACACTGATCGAAAGCAGTCAGACCAAAGGCTCCTATGTCATCAGAGTCTATTTATATTAAATGTCCAGAGTGGGCGTATCAGTAGAGGCCAACAGATTAGTGACTTCCAGGGTACTGGGAGGGAGAAAGGTTATGAATGTCTTTTGGAATTATATGGTGCCGATGGCTGTGTGAAGAATACATTCTATGATGAATTATGTGTGTCTTAATAAAAATACAAAGAAACACTAACAGTTGGGAAAATCTTGACTTATAGCTAGTGAAATGTACTGTAGGGTAGTGTGTGCATTAAAAAAGATGACTGAATCAATAGATAATAATGTAAACCTAGGTATGTTATATAATATTGGTGGATTTTAAAAATTAACTTGGCGAGAGTAGATTAATTAGTCAGTATTTGGCTAAGAATTAAGAAGGAGGGGCTGGAGAGATGACTCAGTGGTTAAGAATACTGGCTATTCTTGCAGAAGACCCAGGTTCGAATCCCAGCACCTACATGGCAGCTAACAACCATCTGTAACTCTAGTTCTGGGTGATCTGATGTGCTCTTCTGTCTTCTGTGGGCACTGTATGACATGGGTGCACTTACATACATGCAGGCATAACACTCATATGCATAAAATCAAAATAAATAAAAATTAAATAAAAGAAGATGGAGCTGCTGTTGACTGTCCACCAGAGCTACGTGAGACCCTGTTGATGACGACACCACATGCTTCAGCTGTGAGGCATAGAGCAATCAAGCTGGGACCGGGTTGAGGCTTCCTCCCTGTGTTTAGTCCTCACCATGTAGGAAGCTGCTGTGTGGGTTGCTGGGTGAGAACTGTCATTAACAATTATGCCCAGCTGTGGACCCTGTGTGCAGCAATACTGTCTAGGCTAGGTGAGTCCTCTGGTGTGAACATGGCAAGTCCGTTACCCAGGCAAACGACCACTTTCTGAGTGGATTTGATGCCTTTTCCACAGGAGGTCAGGCACTGGAAACATATCTGATATGGTAAGGCTGGATAAAAGCCTGTGGCTAGGGTGGTCATAGTGGGAAAGCAATTGCTGTTTTACCAAGTAGGCATCGTAGACCTACCAGTGCCTTCTAAATAACGGTGCTTGTGCCCACAGACGAGTGCTGCTGTCAGCTTTGGTCAGAGAAGCTTCTCCCTGCAGTGGTCAGCAGTGACTGCAGAGACTCAGAGCTGGTCAAAGTGCAGAGAATAAGCGACTGTTGAATACACAGGCATACAAGGGGCCTCTCCCCTCCAAGGCTCAGGGAACTTCTTGGACAAAGACACACAAGGAATGCAAGAGCTGGAGGAATGGGGGTGGGGAGGGGGTGGAACCCTGACTTCTGGGCAAGACCTGCTACTGAACTCACAGCCCTTGGGATTACCTGCTCAAATCTCCCCAAGATTGGACCCATTGAAAAAAGAACAAGAACAGAGGGGCAGGGCACAGTGGCACACCTTTATTCTCAGCACTTGGGGAGGCAGAGGCAGGCAGATATCTGTGAGTTTGAGGCTAACCTGGCCTACAAAGTGAGCTCCAGGCCAGCCAAGGGCTACATAGAAAGACCTGCAAAACAACAAGAACAATTCTGGGCCCACAGACATTCTGTCTTGGGCGAAGGACCTCATGGTGCCACATCCCCCACTTTTGAGGCTAACCTGGCCTACAAAGTGAGCTCCAGGCCAGCCAAGGGCTACACAGAAAGACCTGCAAAACAACAAGAAAATTCTGGGCCCACAGACATTCTGTCTTGGGTGAAGGACCTCATGGTGCCACATCCCCCCCGAGGGCTTAGACTCAGCCAACAGTTGATGGAAGGAGAAGCATTTTATTCAGTGGTGTGCTCGCTGGTAAGGAGCCCATGTTCCTATAAACAAGTTCCCATCCACGCTCCTGTAAACGACCCTAACGATACATGTGTAAAAATGTTACAATGAGTTATGTATAATTAATATATGTGTAATTAATATATGCTAATAAAACATTGAAAATGAATTAAGGCAGAATCTCAACTCCTGCCATACATACTTCCCATACAGATTAAATTAAACCATACAAATCTTAACCAATTTTAAAGAAACACATAATGTAGGCCCCCACCTGGTGAAGACATCCTGTGACCCCAGGACCATGACAGCACGCATCTCTTCACATTCCCCCACCTCAGTCACTTCCTGTTTCCTCAGTTCCTTGAATCTCTTGCATTTCTTGTGAATCCTCTCACTGCCTTTCTATCAAACAGAACCATCGCATTGTAGTTCATGGGTTAAATCAGAACGAGAACCACCTTACAGATGTCCTCAACATCAGCTCTCAACTCTCCTAAGCGATCTTCATGGTAGAGTAAGACCTGCCCTTGTTAACTGATTTTCAAAGTCTCAAAAGGACTTCACTTCTATTTTCCCTGAAATGAAAAAATTTTTTCTTACCCAGAGGAACCATGAAGAACAAAGTAAAGACTCCAAGGACGGAAAGCAGGACCCTCATAACTGAGCCAAGAGGCTAGAGAGAGAGCCAGTCAGGCTGGGAGGACAAGAGCGTCTTCCTATACTCAGCCCCAAGGAATGACTTGCATGATTATTGAACCTTTCAATAGCACGAACATTTCTGTGTTTCAATGAGGCTTTATACCAGGAGGCAGCATGCACTCACTTAAAGCACACTTGTCAAATGCCAGAAGGATGTGGGCAAAGATGGTAAAATACACAGCAGGAGGGGAGGGGGAGGCACGGGGAGATTCTGCTGAAAATCAGTATCACCTTACGGTTTCTGGAGGAGCTGTGGAAGTTAAGCCAACGTTTATAGAGAAAAGATACCTTATTTCTCTGGTAAGTGAAGAGAAGCTCTAGATGTGACATCATGCCAATCTGGAAATATTTTAGGGAATCTACACTAATGTACTTGAGCAACTAAATTGGATTTGAATCTATACACAAGCTATTGAGATACGAAAAAAACTTTTGGTTATCTCTGTCCATGACACTGAATAAGATAAACTAACACTGAAAGTCTTCTAAACACAAATTGTTCACATTTCCCAGTTATAATGTCATGGGAAAAATTAAAGAAAGAAGAAGGAGCACTGGAGAGGTTATAAAGTACATAGGCAAATAACATAAAAAACACAATGGCACTGTGACATCAGCACAGCTGACAAGGTGACATAAATTGCCTACTGGACTCTATCTAGTGACGTGGACACATTGGATGGCAGAGAAACCTGACAGGCCTGGGGATGGCTTACAGGGACTATGGAGTGTGTTCACATCCCTGCTATTGATCTTCATAAGTTAAAAACGTTTAAAAATTGTGTATGTGTGCGTGCATACATGCGTGTGTGTGTGTGTGTGTGCGTGTGTGCATGCGTGCGTGTGTGTGTGTTTGTGCATGCGTGCGTGTGTGTGTGTTTGTGGGTGT